AAAGCACCCACCACCTCTCTCCTGGGTTTGATAATTCACTGCAGTGGCCACACAGAACTCACAGATTACAGGGTTTATTAGGGAAGCACCAGTCTACAACTCAAGTTCAGGAAGAACGCTCAGTCTCTCTCCCAGCCCACCGTCCCTCAGCCAACAGTCTCTCACAGTCTCTTTCTGGGGTGCGTGTCTCTTGTGTCTCTTTCCCAGCAACACGTGTCTCAGGAGCCCGTGTCTCTTTCCGCAGCAAGTCTTCCTCGACCAGCAGTCCGAGAGAGTTCTGCCTCCAGGAGGTCTCCTTTAGAGCCCACAGGGTGGTCAAACTAGCCAATTAAGGCATCAGAACTCTAAGCACCTGAGAGAGAATGGGCACCTCCCAGAACATTGTTTTGTGCCACTCCCAACAGAAATACTCCAGGTGGACACCTTCAGCAACCAGGAGCTCCTCAGTTGCTCATAGCAAATTCCACCTTGGAGTTTACAAAGACTTATGGGTAGAAAAGCCACACAAAGTAATTTACTACACTGCACCCTCTTTCCACAGATATAGTCGATTTCGTTCCTGTGTATCCCATCTGGCAAGGTCCACATGTATAGTCATTGTTCATGTTGTTGAAAAAAAAAGGTATTTGGAATGAATAAATTTGGTTGGGAAAAATTCTATCATGCCATCTCCAGCGTCATTTCTATCACCAAGGCCATATTTTCCAACTACCAATGCTTCTTCTTCTTCTTTGTTTCCAACTTTTGCATCCCAACAATCAGTAATTATCAGTGCATCTTAATTGCACATTTGTTCAATTTCAGACTGAAGAAGTTGGTAAAAATTTTCAATTTCTTCATTCTTGGCTTTAGTGGTTAGTGCATAAATTTGAATAATAGTTGTATTAAATGGTCTTCCTTATAGGTGTATGGATATTGCCCTATTACTGACAACACTGTACTTCAGGATAGATCTTGAAATATTCTTTTTACAATGAATACAGTGTCATTCCTCTTCCAATTTGTCATTCCCAGCATAGTAAACCATATGTTTTTCTAATTCACAATGGCCAATACCAGTCCAGTTTAGCTCACTAATGCCTGTTGTTGTTGTTGTTGTTATGTGCCGTTGAGTCGGCCCTGACTCATAGCGACCCCTCCTTAGGTTTCCGACGCAGTATCACTACGGAAGTAGATTGACCCATCTTCCTTCTGAGGAGTGGCTGGTGGGTTTGAACCTCCAGCCTTCTGGTTAACAGTCAAGTGCCTTAGGCACTATGCTAGAACATCAATATTTATGCATTCCATTTCATTTTGACAACTTCTAATTTTCCTTGATTCATACTCCATACATTCCATAGTCTGATTGTTAATGGATGTTTGCAACTGTTTCTTCCCATTTTGAGTAATGTCCCAGCAGCTCATGAAGGTCCTGAAGGCTTTACTGCATCCACATCATTAAGGTCAACTTCATTTGTCCATGAGTAAGCAGCCCACCATTCGGCTTGGAGCTCTTGGATTCGTCATTTGTTGGAGTCAACAGCCAGTGTACTGCCTGCCAGCCTTGAGCTTCTCAGTTCTGTGGTTGCAGGAGCCAGGAAAAGCCTCCAGCTTGATGTTTGTTCCAGGGACTTTGGACTTGCCGGCTTCTATATGTTTGTGAGCCATTTTCCTAAGATAAATTTCTCTCTCTCTTTATATATATATATAAGTTTTGCTCATTTTTGTTTCTCTAGAGAATCCAGTCTAACACATATATCTAACAAGCAACTATAAATATTCCCCTATTTAAATCTTCTTCAATAATATGTTAAGAATATAATTTAAATTAGGGAAAAATCAATTACATATGTAGCTTCACTTTACCAAATTGTGATATAACCTTGATAACACATCTCATTACTTCTTTATTCAAATACTTATAAACTCCATGTATGAAGTAAGTAAGGATGTCATACATAAACACATAGAATAGTGAAGAAAAGTGATATGTCCATAAACATTTTGACCATTTGACAATCTTCTTGTTACTATCAGGAGTTCCAAAAAATGAGAAATAAATAAAAAATATCACATGTATAACATATAGTTATATGCATGTGTGTGTGTGTGTATATATATATATATATATATATATATATATATATATATATATACACATATACCCCACTTGTCTGTCAGTTTGTAATACTGTGGTGTTTTGTGTGTTGCTGTAAGGCTGGAGGCTATGCCACTGTTATTTTAAATACCAGCAGGGTCAACCATGGTGGACAGGTGGACAGGTTTCAATGGAGCTTCCAAACTAAGATGACTTGGAAAGAGGAAGGCACCATCAACTTCTCAAAGTACTGGCCACTAAAAGCATTATAAATAGCAGTGAAACACTATCTAATGTATTACTGGTAAACATTATGAATAGCCCTGAAACATTATCTGATATAGTATGAGACAATAAGCCCCTCAGGTGGGAAGGCACTTAAATTGTGACTGGGAAAGAGCTGCTTCTTCATAGTAGAGTTGACCTCAATGACATGGATGGAGTATAAAGCTTCTGGGACCTCCACTTGATGATGTAGTACCACCCAAAATGGGAAGAAATAGCTGCAAACATCCATTAATAATCAGAACATGGAATGTACAAAGTAAGAATCTAGGAAAACTGGAAATTGTCAAAAATAAAATAGAATGCTGATGCTCTTTAGAAAACCTGATATCCCTCTCAAGGGACTTCTGAAAACATGACCAGAGTAGGTGACAGGAAATCTGACCATTCTTGCTTCTAAGGAGTATTCTGGCTGCACTTATTCTAGGACAGACTTGTTCCTTCTGGCAGTCCATGATGCTTTTAGTATTCTTCACCAACACCATAATTCAAAGGCATCAACTGTTCTTTAGTCTTCCTTATTCATTGTCCAGCTTTTCCTTGCATATGAGGCTATTGGAAATACCATGGCTTGAGTTGGGCACACCTTAGTCTTCAAAGTGACATTTTTTTCTCCTTAATACCTTAAAGAGGTCTTTTTCAGCACAACTGTCCAGTGTAATATGACATCTGATATCTAGAATGAGTCCTGATTGAGGATCCAAGAAAAATGAAATCCCTGACGACTTCAATGTTTTCTCCATTTATCATGATGTGGCTTATTTGTCCAGTTGTGAGGATTTTTGTTTTCTCTATGTTGAGGTGTAATCCATACTGAAACAATTGTTTTTGATCTTCATCAGTAAATACATGAATCTTCTTCACTTTCAGCAAGGTTGTATCTGCATATCACAGGCTATTAATGAGTCTTCCCCCAATCCTGATGTCATGTACTTCACCATATAGTCTAACTTCTCAGATTATTGGCTCAGCATACAATTTGAATAAGTGTGGTAATAGAATGCAAGCTCTTCCTGATTTTAAACCATGCAGTATCCCCTTGTTCTTTTTGAACCACAGCCTCCTGGTCTGTGTACAGATTCCTCATGAACACAATTAAGTGTTCTGGAATTTCCATTCTTCTCAATGTTTTGCATAATTTGTTATAATCCATGCAGTCAAATGTCTTTGCATAGTCAACAAAACATAGGTAAACATCTTTCTGGTATTCTTTGCTTTCAGCCAAGATCCATCTGACATCAGCAATAACATCTCTTATTCCAGGTTCTCTTCTGAATCTAGTTTGAATTTTTTATTAGAAAAGCAAAATTCCTAAATTGTATTTAAACTCAATCTTCCTTATCTTGGAGCTCTGGTAGCATAGTGCCTAAAGCACTTGACTGCTAACCAGAAGGCTGGTGGTTGAAACCCACCAGCCATTCCTCGGAAGGAAGATGGGGGAATCTGCTTTCATAGTGATACTGCCTCGGAAACCCAAGGAGGGGTTGCTATGAGTTGGGTCCGACTCGATGGCACATAACAACAACAACTTCCTTATCTTGATGAAAATGCTTTCCAACTAGTTTCAGTATTTTTCCAACTCTGTAACACCCTGCTGTCTGTTCTCCTGGGATTAGAAATTATTTGCAGATGGTCATTTTTTAGCAAATGGACTAATTTCTACAGAGTTCTGTATATTGCATAGTGTTCTGTATGTGGCTACTTCAGAAGAATTCAAATTCAAATGAACTTAAATCTTGATATGAATGTGAGAGAAAAGTGAAATGGCCTAGAAAAAAATCTTGTTACATTCTAATTTAAAGAACACTATTTAGATCTTAACGTGAAATTACTTTACTATATAATCACAAAAATATCATGTACTCCCTTCACAAATACAGCTTCTAAAGAAAATTAAAATTTTATTTTTACTGTTTACTTCCTTATCTATCTCCATGAGACTTGTTTTTCATTGACTCCTCAAGATTACCATTCATATATAAATATAACTACACTAAGAAAAGAAAGCACATGCAACCTCCAGACAGCAAATAATCATTACAATGTTCAGTAAAGACTCCAAAACAAATACCATTTTTAAGTTCTGTGTCCCAAGTCTCTGAACTGTGTCTAAACATAAGCAGTTCCAATATCTCAGCATATTTCAGAGGGGACTATAGTGTTCCCCAGTTAAGAATAAGCTTTCAGACATTAGCATGGTATACAGATGTAAGGATATTACTTTTAATATGTGGGGTTTTGCATATAAAAAGCTAAAGAAACTATTAAGTAAAACCCTTATTTATTGATAGGTTGCACTCTTAATCAGTCATGAGATTTAGCTTTGGCAAACTCACCTTAAAGAAAAAATTAGAGAAAAAATTCTTAAATGGTTCGGTATTATACTTCATCCTATTTCTATCCTCCACCCAATACTATAATTTTATCCAATTGATCCTTCAGATTAAACTACACTCATTTTCCAAATACAGGAAAAAAAAAGTTCATGATTCAGTTATTCTTTGCAATTAGTGTTCATATTTGGTACTTGGTCTTTCTACCCTTTTATTTAATTAACAACAATACAAAATAAGAATATAGTAACAATCTGGATGTGTTGTTTTAAAGTATACCCCCAAAAGTTACTGGTTTTTCTTACCAGTGCTGTCATCATATACCACTGTGACAGTTTTCCACTTGAAAAATTGCACCAGGTCCAAAATGGCACGGCTGAGTGAAGAGAAGTCTGGGTAGAGACTGACATAGAAGGAATCTTTGTTGTCTGACACCTGGTGCTTCCAGCGTGTCTGTATGTGGGGAACGCCCAGAGCATTACAGATGGACTGCACTGCATTTGCAGAAGAGCTGTGTGAAGGCCCGAAGATGGCAGCGACCCCAAGAGATAGCTGATCACAAGCTGAAGAGGAGATAGAAATCTGTCAATAACGAGAGGATAGAAACCAGGGTGCCAGCATATACCAAATTATTATTGTAAACACAAAGGTATCAAGCTAACGAAAGATATGCTTTTGTTTCTTTCATTTTGTTTTTAAGTTTAATGTCTACTTTGCTAATTTTGACTCTAAACATTTCTATTCTTTTACAAATGGAATTAGTTCACCAAGATATCTGTAGCTCAGGTTCACATAATTCTATAAAAAATGCCAACGAGGGAGAGAGAGAGGAACGTTTTCAAAAACTTAAGCGGGTGTTTATTTTGGAAAAATAGTTCAGGTCAGGGAGAAAGACGAATAGCGTTATGTCCCAAATTTATTGGCCATTGTCCACAATTTTAAAGCCTACGTCAAAAGCCACTTGCTCCCTCAGTCACTGAAAAAGCTATGGTTTCACAGAGTTAAATATTTGCACATACGGTATAGGTCAAGATGTGCACACCACCCCTCATATAAAACCAGATATGGTTATTCCCTATGGAATAATCTCCTTAAGTAGAAAAGACACTGAAATCATTAGATAAGCATTTAATCCTCTTTATTTAACTTTTGGATGCTACAAGTCTTTGTACTGCTTTGATACATATGTATTTTTAAGTTTGTGTTTACTCATAGGAAAATTTATTCACATCAATAATTAAGAAAGTCATAATTAAATAGAGCATATTCAGGTCAGGATGGACAGACTATGACAGCACTTGAAACTCTGTTAAATACATTGAAACAACTAGTGTATTCTAGCCTACTAAAGGAAATAATTGTGATAAACATGAAAATTATCTTTAAACATTTGAAGACCAAGCCTATGAACGAGGCTGTAAGCTTGTTTCATTTGACCACCAAAGCAAGATTTAGGACAAATTATGTGAATTTCTTTACAGATTTAATGGAATCTAAAAGATCTAATGGGAAGCAGGAAATGTCTGAAAATAGAATAGGCTGTCCCAAAAGGCAATGTTTTACCCATCTCTGCAAATATCAAAACAGTGCTGAAGAGGTTTTTTTTTTTTAAAATCAGGATTTAGGCATCAATTGGCTGTTCAAATTCAATACCTAAATGGAGAGATTATAATTCTACCATGTAAAATTTTCTAGAATTTTTATTCAGAGAGTTTTCTACCTAAAACACAATATGATGGATGAATTGTTAACTAGTAATGTATTTAATAATCGAGTGAAATTTAATGGAGATTATCCATTGTTTGAACCTTCTTAAAAAATTCAATATAATGTAAATAATTATTTTGCATTATGTAGAGTCTCACTTTTTAAATAATGATTGGTATGCTGAATCAGTAAGAAGGCTTAGTTAAGTTCAAAATTCATTTTGAACTATAATGAGCAAATATAGGGCAACTGTGAGAGGCTATTTTCTTACTTATTTGCTTGTTTTTAACAAATCTTCCATTGACTATTGAACTGCACTGACTGGATATATTATTTTTGAAGTATGGAATTTTTTACTCAACATGGATTTTTATTGCACATACATTATAGTTTCTGACAAAACATAAACCAAGAGAAGTTTAAAATATTACATTATGTTGGTTATTTAGAATATTCCTGTGTTTGAAATAAGAATTAGAGTTTCAGTTATCAGAGGAACCATTTAAAAGCAATGTATGATTCAAACAGTAATTCAAACTTTAATAATCAAAATATTCATTTATTGAGCAAACCAGTATTATTAATTAAAAGTATAACACCAAATAGCAGAGAAAGTATTAACATGTGGAAATTTCACTTCTTATTTCTTGCCTTTAAAAAATAATTTAAAAAAATATTATAAATGCTCAATTAAACATTTAGGTTATTTTATAATTAGTCAATATATTATCAATATGTATCAATGTGATATATATATCAATTGATATAAATAAATATATATATATATTTACTGTGCTCCCAGAAGGTTTAAAATTTATATTGAATTTCTCCCTTATATTATTCTTTGACATATCACTGTGTCCTCCAAGCAATAGTGGCTCACCAAGAAAGAACTTCACAGAGTTGAGAGCCAAACCATGGGATTCATCCATTCAAAATCTCACAAAATATTACTCATGCACTTCCTAGCTTCAGGCCAAAGTCAATTGAGGGATTTGATTCATAATAGGATTTTAATGGGTGATAAAACTTGTAAATTCGTTTAATATTTTAGAAACCAAATGGTGTCTTCACCTCATAATTTCACTAGGGCATTCCCAGGATAGAAACTTGTTTGTTGTTGGAACATTTTAATCCACTTTTCAGGTTGCTCCCTTGATGGAACCATTAAGAAATCTTTTAATATGTTATCTATTGTTGTTGTTGTTGTTGTTGTTATGTGCCGTCGAGTCGGCCCCGACTCATAGCGACCCCTCCTTGGGTTTCCGAGGCAGTATCACTACGGAAGTAGGATTGCCCAACCTTCCTTCCGAGGAGTGGCTGGTGGATACCGCACTCATATTCCATTTTCTTTGGTCTAAATGCTTTCATTTGAAGCAGAGCTACTTCTTTCTAATGGAAATAATCCTGCACTATGTCACTAATCAAATGCACTTGTCTTGCAGTTAGTGTCTTATTTTGCAATTATGATGACAAATGTAGTATTTTGCAATAACCTTTAACCTTTTTTACAGCCTTAAAAACCTTTCATCACCCTGGCATGGTTCTGAAATGTGGAAACTTATTTGTATTCATAAAGATATGAATTCAAAGTACAGTCAGAATACAGGATTTGATAAACACTAGCCAATGGGGGGGGGAGAAATATTCATCTAAAAAAATATTGTGCCTCATCAGCTTCTGTCAATATTAATTAGCATAGAAGAAATCTATATCAAGATGGAATGATAAATAATTATGTAAATTTTCACCAATGTAAGGTAGCAAGTAAAGCAATATTAATACTACAGAAAGGCAAACATCTTTTAAAAAATATGAAGTGAAACGGCTTTGCAGGCCCATTTCATTGAGAAAATCTATATTATGAAATTTAATTTCTGATACATGAATGAGAACTACATAAAAGACACGATCATATTAAATGAGATTAAATGAGACTATGGAAATAGCTGTCAAATACATTTATAACTAAAACCTATTGTTTTGGTTAAAATAATACCTTGGTACTAATTTGCATAGTTCTTTCTTTTACACATAAAATTAAATTCATGTTATACAAAATAATTTCTCCATTGTTATCATTTCAAACACAATTTTATAACATAATAGTAAAAAATAATAAAATTTAGATTACTGTAATTATCACTTCATATACTCTTGTGTTTATATCATTTGATGCTTATTTTCAGGCAAAACAAACATTGAGTGGTTCAAAAAAAATGGACAGAAAGTATACATAAATTAAAGGTTGTTTAAGTTTTCTAATAAAGTTTTAAAAAGATTGAGCTGACTCTTTGAAATATCTTAGAACCAGAGAACTTTCAAGGTAGAGTAAGCCAAATAAAACCATGGTAGTAATATATTAGAAGTAGAAAATCATGCAAATAAAAATAAAAAATTTATTTAAATCCACTGATATATACTGCTTTATATTATTTGGTTCTTGAAAATAGGAATATTTTAGTAACCAGAGAATTGACATAAAAAAATTTTTTTGCCATAAATACAACTGCATTTCATGTTGTAAGATTTTTTTTTTCTTGTCAAAGATGATTATATCGCTTTACCATATCTGATAAAACTTAGGTGAATTATTAAAATATTCATTACATTAAATTATTCCTAATAACCTATTAACTACATTTTGAAATTAAAAGATTTCTAAGAATACCTGAAAAATCTGAATTCAATAAAACATCATGTTGAATATCTATCAGTTACCTTTCTTGGATGCTTCAAAACTGTCATAGAGGTTTATCTTCTGAGTGTCATAGGTTAGGGTGGTATTGGGCAACAAAGTTCTGTTTCTGTTGATTGTGTTCACAGCAAATCTGAATGCAAGTTCCTCAGCTCCCATTGGGCCAGATTCCACATATTCAAAAATACCACCTGGGGGGGGGGGAAAGGAATATGTACACAGTTCTTACAAAAGAGAAAATGTGAGAAGTTTTTGTATTTATCTGTGCATGTGTGTTCATAGAGTCTGTTTGTGATTTGTTTACATGCCTAGAGTTTGTGTTGGCACATTTTATTCCTATGAATTCCATATTTTGGAACATACACTTTTAGATAAATCCACATTGGCAAAATTGCCTTGATATTGTTGCCAAAATGATTTTAATATGATTTCACCTCATTTCTTTAGTAATTGCTTTTCAAGGCCTACATATATTATAGATCTTGCTTTAAATCCTGAATATTACCCTCTCCAAAATGATGCATATAGTTCCAAAGTAACCAATTATCTGTATTTATACAAAGCCATAAAGTTAACCACTGGGGAAATCATATTAAAGGATCCTCTGTTAATTTAGACATCAGATTTATTTCAGCACAATTTTTATGACATTTATGTTGTTAAACACACATGCACAAACATATTTACTTGCAAATTCCAACATTTTGCTTTCAAGAAAAGAGAATAAAGTGCATTTGTCTATTCCTTTTACTCTAAGTCATTTTTTCTTCAGAAGATACTTGACATTTGTGAAGGATAGCTCTCCAAAACTATGCAAATCCTTTAATCAGTGAATTACACTGTAGCATATAATGTTGGCCATAAAATGCAGAGTATAATTAAAAAGCATGTCCCTTCAATTTTTCACCTCCTGATAGCTGTGTCTCAGCCCAGTTCCTTCATTCTTTTCTCAAACTTCCTTCTCCCTTATAACATCTTTCTCTTCAACTGGGATGAACATGAGTGGGACCTTGACCTCCCACAGAATCTCTTCTTTACAGTTGTTTTGGTAAATGGAATGAAGGGGGAGCTCTAATAACTGACTCCCTCAAACCTCTGTCTTTGGGAAACTAGTACTCACAAAAGTTAACATCATGTATTCTCAACAAAATCGTTCACATATTAAACTGCCTTATATAAGCTCCTTCCATGGTTTACAATTCATACGTCCATCAAAGGTGTTCCAACACTTGAGTGTCACATTAACACACTATCACTAAAGTCACTATTCTAAATTAGTAAACTGTCATGGTATTGTAACAGTGCCTCTAATTATGAGGAATGTTGTTTTGTGTGCCATTGAATTGATTTTGACCCCATTTGACAGAGTAGAACTGCCCCATAGACTTTTCTAAACTGTAATCTTTATGGAAGTGGACTGCCAGACCTTTCTCCTGCAGAGTCGCTGGTGAGCTGAACTACCAACCTTTTTCGGTCAGCAGTTGAGCACTTAACCATTGAAGAATGGACTCAACGACAACTACCACGAAAACCAAAGGATAAGGCAAAGTTATAGTTAGAAGAAATTGAAAAATCTGTTGACTCTGTTTGGTTTAAAATAATTTTTGTATTATTTTAACTAAATGTATGATATATTTTACCAAAGGATCAACTTATTACGAAATACCAAAAACCAAACTAAACTCACTGCCATCTAGTTGATTCCAACTCATAGTGACCTCCATTGGGCTTCCCAGGCTATAAATCTTTACGGAAGTAGATTGACCAGCCTTCCTTCCATGGAACAGCTGATGGGTTTGAATGGCTGACCTTCTGGGTAGCAGCCAAGTGCCTTATCCACTATGCCACCAGAGCTCCTTATTATGAAATAGTACTCTGAATACAGTTAAAATATTTTGATGACTAAACAAAAGGAAGGTGTTAAGAACCAAGTCGGGAGCCTTAGATATTGGGGTGAAAATAGTGGTGTGAGCATGGGTTCTAAAGCCAGCCTGGATTTACATGGTGTTTCTGTCACCCGCTAGCTGTTGGAATTTCAGTACTTACTTAAACCCTCAGCCTGAGTTTTCTTCATCTCTAAAACAGGGTAACAATGGAGCTTTCTGCACAGATTTGTCATAAAGATTAAATGTCAGCTCGTGTAAAATATTCAGAAGAGTGGACGCCATAGATTAAGGACTCAATAAATGTTGAAGCTTCCATTCAATCTTCAAAGAAATTCAAACTAGTACTATTCACAGAAAGAACCATTTGTAGAAAGAACCAACCATGATATATCTATCAAGTGGTAGGGCCAGCATTAGAAACTGCTCACACTTGACTTCAAAACCCTTGCCTATTCCACAAGAAACTAGTAGTTTCCCTCAAAATTTCACTCAAGCAAAATACACAGAGCTTCCTAAAAGGTGAGATGTAAGAATTTCAATATTAAGATGCAATTAGAAATGCAAAATGTTATATTATAGGACTGAAAATAATTCAGCAATTGGAAAATACTTATTTAAGTTTTATAGAAATAGTCAATTATAAAAATGCAAATCTAAAGTGGTTTCTTCTTGACAAAATAAAATAAAAACTGAATCTTCTACTTTCCTCAAATCAAAATTTCAGTTTCTGTTCAGGAAAAACAAAATAACAACACAGAAATAATAAACACTAGAAGCTGTGGGTTAAAATTTTCATGGTATTCATTTCTCTACAAAATAAATAATCCAGATTCAACTTCGAGCTTACATATTTATTATATATTTACTATTTAAAGTAGTCTTTGTAATTCCCTAAGATAACCATTTTCTACCTTAATTAAATAAAATTAATGATTAATTTTTATTGATCCAAAGCCACATGCAATTTTTTTTTAATATTTAAAACAAAAAGATCCACATAACACAAGCTTTTCAGGCACCACATCTTACATACCTCAGATCAATGCAATTCTTGAACAATCATGTAGGGTAAGTACTGTCATCGCTAACACTAATTCAAGAAAAGAAAGAAACACTGAGTAGATCAGTACTTCTGATGTGCAGAGAAGATACAAGTGGGGAAGATGAAAAATAATATCTAGGAAAAATCTACTCTGCAAAAAAGAGTTGAGTGGATGACCCAAATTTATTTCTGGAAAAAAAAAAAAAATATAATTCTATTTACATATTTAGATGAGTTTAGTAACATCAAACACATCTACTGGTCAGAGTAGACAAACAGGTATAATCACCATAGTAGATACTATGAAGGCACTTGTAAAAACTAATAATTATTCTTGATTAAAACAAGTTTTAATAAACAGAAAAAAAAAGTGACATTTTATTAACTGGTAGGATGGCAGATGTTGTAGATATAAAGCTAAATACATTAACACATAATTTCATTAAAGATAAATGAAATTCACATTGAAAAGTTGAATCTTATCAAAAAACATTTTAAAAATAAAACACACAAACAAGTATAAGCCTCTTACAAGAGAATTGCTGAAAAATAAGGAAACAATAGGCAAAGATTTATTCTAAAATCACACTAACCAAACAAAACTGGTACAGCTATTCTAATACTAGACAAGATAGACTTGAAGGCTGTAAGCAAAATAAGGAAAGAAATTCATAATGATAAACAGGCCAATCCACAGGGGTAATACTATAATTCTAAATCTGTGTACATCCAATCAAATAGCATCATGACCTTGACAGTACTATAAGGAAACACAGATCATAATGGGGAATATTGACACAACACCCTTTGATAGAATAAGCAGACATAAATATCAGTTAAGATTTCTTGTTGTTGTGTTGTTATGTCTTGTCGAGTCAGCCCCGACTCATAGTTGAGATTTGTTGTTGTTGTTGTTGTTATGTGCCGTCGAGTCGGCCCCGACTCATAGTGACCCCTCCCCTTGGGTTTCCGAGGCAATATCACTACGGACGTAGGATTGCCCAACCTTCCTTCCGAGGAGTGGCTGGTGGGTTTGAACCGCCAGCCTTCTGGCTAGCAGTCAAGTGCTTTAGCCACTATGCTACCAGAGCTCCCAGTTGAGATTTAGAAGGTCTAAATGACATATTTAATATATTTGACCTAAGTAACATAAATGGAACCAAACCTAAACCAAAACCAAACCTACTTCCATTGAGTGGATTCCAACTCATAGGGTTTCTGACACAGTAAATTTTTATGGAAGTAGATTGCCCAGCCTTGCTTTTGTGGAGTGGCTGGTGGGTTTGAACCACTAACCCTCTGGTTAGCAGTCAGATGCCTTAGGAACTATGAGCACAGTGCCGCAAATGACAAAATTTTCTTTGCAAGTGCATATTTATCAAATATTATAGTGGTTTCAAGTAGAAAAACCTCAGCACATTTAAGAGGATTGAAATTATTCAGAAAAGTAAATCAAATCAAAATAAATACATAAAAGGAAGAAAATAATAACAATTAAAAAAAATCACTGAAATAGAAAACAAATATTCAATAAAAAAATCAACAAAGACAAACTGGTTCTTTGATGAGGTTAATAAAATGGATAAAATCATAGCAAGTCTGATTAAGAATAAGAAAGAGAAAA